TGTCAACCATATTCCTGGAAGTGATGTTGATTTAAGTCTTGGGATTCATTTCTCCAACAAATAACTATTGAATAACTACCTAGTATGTGTTAGGCCAGATAATTAAGACATCTTGTCTTCAAAGAGCTCAAAGTCTAATACTCTTCAAATTAGTTTCCATTTAAGATCTTTGTCAAAAGTATATGGGGATTTATGGCACTCCAAATAAAATAAACATTTTCAAATCTTCTAATTCCCAGGCCAAGTTTATTCTCAGTACTAATGCTGCTACTTCTATAAAAGACATTAAATACTTTAAGTTGTTGAAGAATGAGTGTTTTATTTATTTATTTGGTTATTTTCTCCTATTTGTGCCATGACCTGTCCTATGCCAGAGGCCAGGAGGCCAGCGCTGTAAAGACAAGGCAGAGTCTGGTTCAGGGGAGCTCACCACCTTCAGAAGAAAAGAGGAATCTAGTGAAGCTCACCACCTTCAGAAGAAAAGAGGAAGGAGTTAATCTAGTGAATCCACATTTCTGTTGGATCCCTCCTATGATGTGGAGCATGGAGAAGAGGAACAGCCTCCCTAGTGGAGGTGATTTCAGACCTGGGTGCAAGTAGCTTGAAAGGTGTTAAGAGATTGACACAGAATTGGAAATAAGGGGTTCTCACTATTTCTTTTTTTCTCTTTAGTTTTATTTATTTACTAGAGGCCTGGCCTGCCCCCTCTCACAGTCCAGGAGCCCTCAGGGGATGTCCTACCAAAGGCGTAGGCCCCCGTGGGGAGTGGGCCTAAGCCACAGTCTGGCCTCCCTCTGCGGGAGGTGACCAGGCTGATCAGGGGGAGGCACCACTCCCATCACCCAGCTGCTGTTGCCACTGCCGGCCAGGGAGGCTGCGAGGCCTGAGCCCCTGGTCTTGCAGCCACTGTGGCTTTGTCTGGATGGATGTCTGGAAGACATCTGCCCTAATTAGCATATTACCCTTTTATTAGTATAGATTTTAAATCTTTATTGTTGAAAGAGTTCCCAGCTCAGGTGACTGGGGAGGCTAAGCCACTAGGCCCTACAGAACACCTACTATACAAGGCCATTCTACAATTCCAGGAGACATAACATCTCTACCTAATACATGGAAACAAACACAGGGAAGCAATCAAAATGAGGAGACAAAGAAACATGTCATAAATCAAAGAAATGGAAGCAAGCAAACTACTGGGTACAAAGCTCAAAATAATGGTTATAATGTTACTCAAAGATCTTATTGAGAGCTTCCAGGGACTTAATGAGAGCTTTAAGGGACTTAGTCAGACTTTCAAGGATCTTCAAAGACATGAGAATTTCAAAGATGAAAAAGGACCAGTCATAAATTAAGCATATACTAACTGAAATAAAGAATAATTTACAGGGATTCAATAGTAGAGTAGAGGAGTCTAATAATCTAATCAACCATGTGGAATATGAGG